CAAGGGGGAAAATAAACTTTCTCATGTCTAACCCTAAAAAACCAACAAAATGCAGACTTCAAATTTATGTTTTTAGCAGACTCTAAGGCAAGTTATTTATATACATTTTTTCCATATTATGGTAAAATTACAACAGAATTAATTAGACCTGGTCTAATTAATTGGCTTAATTAGACCAGATCTTAATTTCACTAGCAGAATTGTGATGCAACTCTATTGAAATTTACGAAATTCGATTCCTGAAGGTAAAGGGTATCATATTTTTATTGACAGATTTTATACGAACCCCACTTTAGGTGCAGAACTTTTAAAATCGAATTGGAACAATTATGGTCAATCGAAAAGGATTGCCAGAACAAATAAGAAAACCAAAATTAGCTGCTGTACATAAAAGCGCTTATAGAAAAGGAAAGACATTAGTAACATGGCATTACAAAAGCATGGTCACAATGTTTAGTATAAAACAATCTTCTGTTTCACAACGTACGAAAAAAAAAAGATCAAAGATGACTGGAAAAAAATAAACGAACTGACTATCATATTAGATTATAATAAAAATGTGGGTACAGTAGACTTCACCGACCAGTATGGTATATACTATTGTTTGCTGAGACAGACATTGAAATTGTGGCAAAAGTTATTTTTCTGGGTTAGTTATTTTTGTACATTTTATTCAATGAATATGCTACGAAGGAAAATATCAAAAAGATGTCGCACAAAATTTATCGATGAGTTTAATCAAAGACTTTCGCACTTCTACACAAAAAAAAAAAAAAAAAAAACTTGGTCGATTGTCCACAGAAGGATGCTATCCAATGTTTAGATGGCGAGACTTATTTTATTTTTTCTCATAAAAAACACAAGGATTGTATGGTAGTTCCAACCGGAAGGTCAAAGGAGAGAAAAAAGAAACAACATTCTATTGTGATAGTAAACCCCGTCTTTATCCAGGAGCATGTTTTAAAATATATCATACTTTGAAAATTTATATTTATTTACTATGCTACTAAATGTAATAGAAAAAAGTATTTGTTACACACTTTGCGCTGTTGCAGTGCAACCTTTTATTGAGACCTCTTTTTCTTATCTACTATTTGGTAAATGAATTCAAGAGTTGTTGGTTTGTTAAAAAAAATATTTAGGAGTGGAAAAGTCAAGGAAGGCAGATAATGCTTTTATCCTCCCTCCTTAATTGGCAGGATACCTACTTCTATTGTTCAATTATGTTTTTTTATAAATTATGTGCATATACTAAGATGATAAAAGTAACCATGGAATTAATTTAGGCAGGGTCTGTTTTCTTAGTAATAATAACAGCTCAGCATTATGTATTCAAGTTTTAGGAATCAGATAGCTGTTTTACTTAGTATTATGCTGTATTTTTCTGTTTATGCCCACTTTAATGAACTCAAGTGTATATTTATTACTTCTATGCATGTACTATGAATGTTAATTCATACTTGGCAAGGATTTAGACTACTTAACATTACTTAATGATCATTTTTATGTATTATGTTTATCAGTCTTAGTTTTCATGTATTTATTATGTATGCATTTTTTTAAGTATTATGTATGCAGGTATTTAAAATCTGTATTTCTGTACTCAGTATCGTGATTTTTTTTTTTTTTTAACTTTAATATTCAGTTTTGCACTTATGTATGTATTAGCCTGTCTGCAAGTACTACGAAAGAAAATGCAGATACATGGTTCAATTTGTAAAACAACTCCAGTTTAAGGTTGCACAAAGAACTAAATTATGCAGGAATTTGTTATCTTAGTGATAACAGGTCCACAATCTTTTAAATGTTTTACATAAGAGTCAGGCACATGGAAGTCTGCGTTAAATTACGTTTGGATGCTAGGATTTTTTTTTTTTTTTTTTTTAGTTTACTGTCTTCAATAATTTGATAGGTTGTGTCTTTTCTTCATGCAAGACCAACGATATTACATACAGCACAGTAAATATTGCATCAGAATTAGCATCTGTGTGTAGACATTTGACAAGTCCAGACAGTCCATGGCAGTTAATTTTTCAAGCAGAGTCCTCCTTTCCTTACTTTATCTAGCACAAGTTTCTGTTTATTCTAACAGTGATTCTTTACAGTCTTTCTATTGCTTCTTTGCTTAATTTTAAATAGTTCTTAACAGGATGCTTCTTCCCCAAACAAATCCAAGCTTTTATGTAGACTGTGTGAGGCTCTTAGCCATCTGTTCAGCTGTGTTCCGTGGGCAGGGTGGAGCAGAGAATAGATGGTTTCTGCCAGGAAAATATCACACTGTGAGGCTAAGGTCAGGTCGGTGGTCTTTGTTAGTGGCGTTCACTCACTCACGTACTTCCATGAGCTTCCAAAAACATTTTGTGGTCTTGATCTTGCCATCTATACAGCATCTGTTTTATCCTTTTGCACATTTATTGTTGAGGATAATCTTTATAACAGTAATAATTTTCCCATTTTTGTATCTCCTTGCACAAGATGAAATAAATTCCATGTCAAGATCTCATTGTTTCGTACTTGATAAGCCAGACTATGAATTTTTCTCAGTTCTTGCAGAGCTCACAGAAGACATGGTAAAAAATTTTCTTATCAGTAATGCTGGTGTCATTATTCAAGCAGCTACACTCTCTATACTTGTAATATCAACAATGCTTCCATGGTTCTCAAAGCCATGATTGAATCATGAAAGTAAAGAAGCACTGAGAGAAAGAGAAAAGCATGGGGAACTTTTTGTAGGCTAAATGCAAAATTAAAAAGTTATGGATACTAAATACTTTACTGCTGGTTTCCCGGACATGTAAGAATCGAAGTTACTGAGCAGACATATATCATCAAAACCTGTTGAATTGTCTAATCAACTTGCCCCTTTCAGAGATATCAGCATTAGCATCAAGCAGAAGGTACTGAATAAATAGTGAATGACTTTTTGACTTTTGAGTGCATAACAGGCCGAGAAGCTTAAAACTCAAAGCAAAATATTAGGAGGCTAATAGAAACCAGAAGGAAGTTCTTTTCACTTGTTTTAGAATTTGGTCTTTCCTATTGTTATCCATAATTACTTTTTGAAATCTGAAAGTGAACCTTTGTGCTCAAAATGCAGTGCTCTGCTACAAAGGCTACTATTTATATTTCTGGCCTTTGTAATTGTTGACAGATGACTATAGACAATTCTAATAAAAAGTTGGATATTTTTAACCGTAACTTCTTTGGAAAGTTTTGCCATTTTAGCATGATTTGTGTTGTTTACAGTAAATTGAAAATTTCATCTCTGGGAAAAAAATGGAATAAACTCATGAACATTTTCATGAGATTATTTTTTATAACTTTTGACATGGATTATCAAGATAAGTGCTTCACTGAACTTAATTCTTTATACAGCAATAAAACACCATCCTGCAGCACTGTAAAAAACTGGTATAGCGAATTCAATTGTAGTCGGCATTCGCTCCAGCACGAATTCTGTGAAGGTCATCCAAAATCAGTTGTTGTGCCAGCAAATACTGATGCTGTGCATGAACTTATAAAGCAAGATTGTCATGTGACATACTGTTAGATTGAGGCATCTGTGGGCATTAGTATGACAAACATCAATAAGATATTACATGAACATTTGACAGTAAAAAATATTTGTTCACATTAGATCCTGCATAATCTACACAAACGTTCAAAAGAAGGCTTATATCGGCTGATGCAAGGAAATGTTGGAACGATACTTTCAAGGTGCATCAAAGGCTGTGTGTAACATCTACACAGGTGACGAATTATGGATCTATGCATAAGAGCCCAAAACAAAACAGCAGTCGACTGTATGTCTCTTCCAAGATGAGAGAAATCGAACAAAAAATGTTCATGGAAGAAGCACATCGAAGCAAATGATTGCCTGTCTCTTCAGTATTACCAATCATGTAGTGACAGTAGCATTAGAGCAATGCAGGATGGTCAATTCTGAATGGTACATGATCATTTGTTTGCCAGAAGTCATTGGAGAAATTAAAAAAAGCAGAAGAGGTGAATCATTCTTTATGATGACAAGCTCTCACACTGAAATTTTTCATGGGCCCAAAACATTGAATTAATGAGTCATCTAATGTACAGCCCTGATTTGGCTACCAATGACTTTTTTTTGTTCCTGCGCATCAAAAATAAATTATGTGGTCAGCGATTTGCGACAGCCGAAGAAGCGGTTGATGCGTTCAAAACGCATGTTTTGGAGTGAGGAGAGGAAAAAGTGCTTCAAAAATTGGTTCAAACACATGCAGAAGTGTATTGTTCTTCGTTGAGAATTTTTTGAAAAACTGTTAAACTAATTTCAATCATAAATATTTTTTTTTATTAGGCTAAAAGTATAAATAGCAACCCTTGTATTAGTGTGTTATATTTTGACTGAGTACACATATATTTTATGAGTCTTCGTCAGAAGTATTTTAATAGTTTTGACTTCCCTTTGGACCATCTAATCAGAAAAGAGATAGAGTTTAATTTATTTAAGTATCTAAGCGACACAAGTTTTTATTATCTAATATGATCTGCTTTTAAACTAGTTTATTGTATTCTACTGTTGTGTAATGTAATATATTTAATTTTTTATGATTATGTTTTATTTATTTTATACTAAACTTTTTATAATGTTTAATTGAAATTTTTAAAAATTTTATGCTAGAGTGATAGTCTCTAGCCCAGTTGGTATCGTGCCATGTTGTTTAAAATCTTCAAACTACAAACGATCTGTATTTATTCATCTTTGATAACAAATATTGTGGAAATATTATTTGTAAGGATATTTTCATATTTTTGATTGATAACGGTGTTACAGCATTATTTCTGAATCATTACATTAAAATTGTCTTATTTTTGTAATAAAATTTATGTATTCAGAGCTAAGTTTCATGCTTTATTTTTCTGTTTTATTTAAAAGTATAACAATTTTAATGAGACCTTTAAGTGATAAATCGAACAAAAGAATTTGTGAGTTAAATGTATTAAATTTTTTGTTTATTTTCTAGAATTGACGATATTGAAGATAACTCAAAATTAAGAAGAGGCATTCCTGTCGCACATAGCATTTTTGGAATAGCCAGTACTATTAATTCTGCAAATTATGTGTATTTTTTGGGCTTAGAAAGAACTTTAAAACTTGGCCATCCAAAGGCAACTGCAGTTTTTACAGGTAAATGTGTAATATATATCTCCTATTGTATTGTTTTTACAGGTAAATTTGTAACATACATTAACTACAATTACTACTGACTCATTATTAGTATTTATGGTATTATTAATATTCTAATTGTCCTTGGAGTATATTCCAGTATCACTTAAAATGTTTAAATTGGTACAATAGTGTACATTAAAAAACTTCTTATTCTGGAAAAAATAAGGCTCTTCATTTTGTAAGAAAAAGTTGAATCAAGTGTAGAAAATAACTATGAATTACTCCGCATTTTCATCATGTAAAACATATTTTATATGTATTTGTTAAATTACTATTATCATATAAGATTTACGATATGTCAGAAATTTTGCTTCCTAGAAAATTCACAGTCTTTTCTTAAGCAGAATCTTAGTTACTTTATCTGTGATAATAGTACATTAAGTCAAAGATCCTTTGTGGATTTTTGGTGGAATAATAAGTAAGCTGTCTCTGGTCATTTGCTTTCATCTTTAAATTTTGAAAATATTATTTTGTAAAGTATCTTTTATCAGTCACCCAAAGCTGTCAAAATACATGTTATTAGGTATGATGCCATTGGGTAGCAAATATTGTCAAAACAGAGCCATCATTTTGGCTGATACAGTCATTCATTTAGTATTTAGAGTGTGGCCTAAAGTATTTTAGATCATGTAGTATTGGTCAAATTTCCTGATTCGTCTTCTTAAAGGGACTGGAGAGCATTCATGTGGTAACAGATCATATTACCCTTCAAATGATGAAAGGTTTGAATATTTAGCTAGCCAAACTATCACCTCAGCACTGTAGAAGGATGCCTGTTGATGACTGCTGCATGTAATTGTACCATTATCCTGCCAAAAAATATGTAATCTAAAATAATTATAAAGTTTTTCATTATTCAATAAGTATAACCGTCATTGCCTTGCATTAATACACACCATATCCACAAAAGTCTTTACATGACCTTTATTTTCACAACTGTTAGTGGTCGACATGTGCTACCAATTACAAAAACATTTTAAATGATGTAAGTATTCATGTTTCTGCCTTTTAAAATTTTTTAAATTATTTTTTTATAAAATATGAAATATAACTTTTAAATGGTCTTCATGCTTATATTTTGGAAAATTTTATCTCATTAGAAAAAATGAAAAGCCAAAAAAATTGATATTTAATTTCAAAATTTGTGATTTTTAGCCCAAAGGGAGTTATCCCAGAAAGGCTATTAATTTCGTTTTGTCATTTTGCGTTGAAAACTGTAAATGTCCGTTTCACTTTTCAAATTGTTGCCACCAGATTGTGTTATATTTAAAGAAATTAAATAACGAAGAATCTGCATAAATGTATGTATGTTTCTCGCAGTGTGATAAAATAACAGTACTTAGAGCCATCAAATTTTGAATAAGGTAATCCTCCACAGAATATGGGCATCTGGAAGCCCTAATTTTGGAATTTGTTTTATTATTGAATTCATATTTTGTAACACTTTAACGAATTTTTTATTAACAAACTCGACGATTTCAAAGCGGGCAATGGCAACACTGTATGTGGGAGGACAAACATTTTTATCTCCAGCGTGTGAGACTGTATGAGAAATTCTAAAGCTATGCTCATTTTAAAATTATTTTGTGATACTGCTGTTGAATTGAATTTTATAGTTTAAGTGCAAAGAACATGGTATTTAATAAATAGAGGTAACACAGAAATGTTAAAAAAACACCTTTTTGAGTATAATGTAAAATCTGAAAGCTTTCAGATTTTTTTGATACTCTTCTATAATTTTTTATTTATGATATCATTTTTAATTTGTCTTCAAGGAGAGGTTAATTAGTAAATAAAATAGAATAATCCAAGGGTTCTCTCTTCCTTGAATATTCCTTTCTGACTTGCTAGTAGTAATATCCTTTCATTTATAATTTTGGTACTATTTGATATATCAAAAGAGTTCTCATGCAGTGTAAGTTTTAAAATTCTAAAAATGCATTATTAATATTCTCATGCAGTCTTATTATTTTAAAAACCTATCTGAAAATCATACAAAAATTTCTTAAACTAGAAGTATTTTTAATTTTTGCAATGAAGCCTGCCAGTGTTTTCTCAAACAAACATTATGTAGGATTCTGTGATAAGATTTGTTATTTGAATATATATATACAGTACAAAGTCCATAATCCAGACTCGTCGGGGATTCAGGATTAAGAGTTTTTCCAGATTATAGATCATAAATTTAAATCTGGAAGATGGCATGCAGAAATTATACAATTAAAAATATGAAACCGTAATTTATGAAATAATAATTAATTATGATCTAATGGGTATCAAAATTTACAAAAAAAAAAACTTAATATTTATTTGTTTACTTTATTAAGCATTTCTTTCAATGTAAGTTGTTTAAGTTGCTTCATTTTTTTTGTGCTAATACTTTCTCTTTAATTCTATAAACAGACATAATTTTTTGTTCAGTTACAAAGTTCCACCGTTCAAGTCCTGTAATTGCTGTGTCGAGATTACTGACTAACTTGTCAATCAAAATTTTTTTGTTTTCAAAAACATCTCTGTCACTTTCTTCACTATTGGAAACGGTATTTTCTGGATCTAGAACCATACTACAGATTTCACCGTCCGTTAATTGATTGATGATTAGGGCATTGTCCTCACAATGAAAAACTTCTGTTATATCATCTTCATTTATTACCACTTCTCCACATTTCTTTACAAAATCCAATAACTAGCAAATTTCACCTTTAGTTTGCAATGTCCAAAAGCCTTCAGATTCACAGCTATCATCTTCATCGTCCTCACAGTGAAATATGGTAGCTGTCCATAAATTATGCCAAACATTTTCTAACGTATCTGGAAACACATCCTCCCATGATCTTGCGATGCTCCACACAGCAGATTTTATGCTAAAAAATTTCAAAAAGTCTTGAATAGTCTTGCCATTGTTCAAGAAATTTAACATAGATTTTAAAAATGCTACTTTATATTTGCATTTCAGCACATGCACAATCCCCATATCCATAGGCTGAATGATAGACTTACAATTTGAAGAGAAGAATAATACGGGTACATTATCTTTCACTAAAACTTTAAGTGAAGTATGCGCCAAACAGTTGTGAACGATCAGGACTGTTTTTTAGTCATCAGGTAAACCTACCGAATTAAAATGTTGCCAAGCCTCGGATATAAAACGATTTTCAAACTAATCGTTCATTAACGCTTGTGTTATCCATGCTCTTTTATTTGGACGATATATAATGGGGAAAATTGTTACTCCTTTAAATGCTCAAGGTTATGCATGTTTTCCGATTACGAAAAGTTTGCACTTGTGCGTTCCTGCAGCATTTGCGCATGCTAAAATTGTTAGTCTCGCTTTGGAATCTCTGACACCAGTTGGAGCCTTTTCTGTAGAGGTTGCCAAGGTATTTTGCGGTACATATTGCCAGAAAAGACCTGTTTCATCAGCATTGTAAATTTGTTCTATAGATAATTATTCACTAGTGAGTTCAATGAATTCATCTGCAAATCGTTTAGGAGGTTCAGTATCACCTGAAATTTTTAATTGTCTTATACCATGGCGATTTTTAACCCTTTCAAGATGGGCGTCCCATATACGCATTCCCTAAGAACGTCTCTTACAGCCGGGCATCCCATCCACACATTGCTAGAGACTGCATTCAGAGGACAGGTGATACGTATATGCATTTTAAGCTGGAACATTCTTCTGAAGGCCACTAGATGGCATTCTATGTCCATTACTTTTGAAATGAACACAGGTTTAGGTTCCTGACCTTGAGTTTGATATATTCTGTCTGACTTTGGTATTTTACTCATCAACTGTTGCGAGGGTGGGGGAGGGAAGCGAAAGCGTAAACAGAGGTGGGCTCTTTAAATCGCCGCATGCTAATATAAATAATCACGTGTCTAATTTATATCCAATTCCTTTTTTTATTCTATTTTACCTATACTATATGCAGTCTTTTAGGGTTACTAGACAGCCCAGTCAGTTTTGCATTGACTTCAGATATATTCCCGTTTTTTATCTTTTTATTTTGGGAAGTCTCAACTCCAGTCTATTATGGCGCGAAGGCACTATTTATCAGAGGAAGCATACCCTTGTATGGTTAATGAACCATTTACTAATGCAGATGAGAGTGATGATTCTTTTTCTGAAGAGTTAGAAAGTGATACTTCTCCGTGCTTCGAGATTTACCAGATTAGATTAAGTGCTCAGTCTTCATTTTAAATTTTGTTACTTCTTACTGTAAATAGTCTTTATTGTGTTGTTTTATTAATTTTAGACTTTGTTGATGGATTTTATCAATTAAAACTTTCGAATAATTTGAATAGCGCTTTCAAAAATTATTTTACAGAATAAGGAAATTTTTAATTTTTATGTATATTTTCATGTAAAATAAAAAAATAACGTTATTAAGGGCTAATTTTAACATATATAAGAGCTCAAGTAATAATCTACCAAAAATTATGAGGCTAGAAGTGAAACTTTTTTTTTTTTTTTTTTTCTGATTTTTTTTATAAAATTAGGCTTAGCGATGCAAAACCTCCATCCTGTCCGGTGACTGCCTTTGATTCCCTTCCGTCCTGCATGAGCGTCTTAAACAAAGGTTTGCCGTCGTGAAAAGGTTAAATTTGGTTAACCAACCTGTCGAATATGTACACTCAGTGTTTAAGTTCATTTCTTCATGAAATATTTTGGCTTGAGCCATTAGTATTGGACCCATCAATGGCACAGTGCTCACCGCGACGCTGTCTGATCCATTCAGTCATCACTTTGTCATCATCGTCACTTTTAGCATTATGAACCCTTTTGCTGTTATTCATTGCAAGTGGGGTGTCGGAATCCACAAAAAATTCAAAAAGTTCCTTTTTTCTTTTTGCTTATATCATATACAGTTGACTTTCCAGTATCATACTCCTCGCATAATTTTGAGACTGATATGCCTTTATCCATTTTTGCAGCAATTCCACTTTTTGTTTGA